GGCACATGGTGGGAGCAGGCTTGAAGAAGGTCAAGGTTGATAAAAGAGAAGACATCACTGAGATCAAGCGAGACCAGCTCACTTTCCACAGGCACCTGCAGGACACAGAGAGCTATGATCTTTATGAGGGCGAGTACCTCAAGTACCCTGTTGCCATCAAAACCTTCAAGAGGCCACTGACCACTGACCCAGTGTGAGTCATCCTGGGTGGGAACAAGTGTGACCCCAGCAGGGTGACACAGCACTACGCCATGCCTTGTTCCAGGGATCTCACTGTGCTGTCCATTTCCACAGCAAGGTGAGAGACATCTTTGAGAAGGAGATTCAGACCCTGAAGAAGTTTGAGTCTCCAAACATCCTGCGCATGTACGGGATCTGCATTGAGGAGAAGGGTAGGGGTGTCACATTAATGTCACTCTTTTCCTCCCCGCCATTCCCAGTGCTAGCTGATGGCACATGCCTTGCTGTGGTCGCCTCCCAGGAGGTGGCACAAAGCAGGATGATTTTGCCTTGCAGATGGGAGCCCCTGTTTCTCCATCGTCATGGAGTACTGTAAGCATGGGACACTGCGGGATGTGCTGAACAAGCAGCAGCATCTTTCCTGGGATATCCGCATTCGGATGGCCCTGGGAGCTGCCAGAGGCCTTTACAGGTGAGCGCCTGTATAAATCAGTGAGTAACTCCACTTGACAATCCAAAATCTGAGCGCAGCTTCCTGATATCTCAGGGTAAGCTGTGGTATCCTGTTAGACACTGATTCCCAGTGACACCACCTTGGGACACTGGGATGAGAGGCTGGTGAAGGGGTAGGTAGTGGATTTGGATGCAGTATCTCCCATCTACCCTGGTCACTGTCCCCTACATATGGCTTCAAGCCTGCAAAGGCCTGGAAAGGGAGAAATCCCTTTCCCCAGATCCACAGGTCAGATTTGGAAGTACTCCACAGCACTGCCAGCTCTCCTTACAGGTCCTGCTCATCCATAAAACTTGTTGCTTTGCCCACAGCAGCTCCTCCAGCACCTGCTGGAAAGGTTGGCTTGGTAGGGTTGATCCATCAAGATAGTCAGAGAGCTGCTGGCTTCTCTGGATGCATGTCAGGCATTCCCTTCACGGCAGGAGGGAGTGCCAAGGTGGGGATGGGTCATTCCATCATCATCATCATCATCATCATCATCATCATCATCATCATCATCATCATCATCACCACCTTGGTTCCATCCATCTGCAGGTTGCACCAGACAGGGGAGAAGTCCCGACTCCATGGCTGCATCTGCAGTAGCAAGTTCCTGGTGGCTGGGGATTACTGTGTGAAGGTAAGCACCACGCTTGGAGATGCATTTGGGAGTTTTAAATGGTTTTGTGGCTGTCTCCCTCCACCAGTACTGAAGGGAATTATGATGGTCCAGGATAAAATGGGGTAGTGGCATGTCCCTATGACTTCAGGCACTTAAACCTTGGTCTTGGACTTAAATCTTGGTCTTATCATCAGCAAAGTGAGCATTCCTAAAGCATCCAGCCTGGGATGAGCTGAAGCTGGGGCACTTCACCTGCCCTCACCTCTGGTTTTGCTTGCAGGAAGAGAGCTATGCACACATGGCTGCACACCAGCCTTTGCTGCCCAGGGCATCTCTCTCTGTTTTCTCCATCTCTCCATCTCCTACCCGCACCACAGGTTTCTACTTCTTTGCTCTCTCTCATTCTCTCAATCAGCTGTCAGGATTTGAGTTGTGTGAAACAGAATCATCCATCAAGAGGAAAGCCAAGAAGAACTGGAAACAAGTCTCTATGTTGGCTTACATCGCTCCAGAGAACCTGAAAGACATCAACTACCCTTACAAGAGGCCCTGTGAAATATACAGGTGTGTCTGTCCCTCCCAGCAGATGCCTGTGAGCAGGTAGGTGTCTGGCAGAGTAGCTGCTGAGCTACGGAAGGTGGCCAAGTTTAATCAGACACACAAGTAGGTGCTTCCAGTTGGCATAGCTCAACAGTCCTCTCCATTAGAAAGGAGGAATACATGGTGGAGTGAATACTGAGACTTTTGCTTGTCTTCTTCCAGCTTTGGGATCGTTCTGGCAGAGATTGCAACCTCCAAAATCCCATTTGAAGGTGAGACAGAAGTATGTGGTTCCCTGTGTAAAAACCTCATGGCACAGTGTCGTTCCTGCCTGGCACTGGATGCTCCCTGTTCCTCCCCTGAGCATCTCATGCAGATGCCAGTGCCAGTGCCTGGTGTGCTTGACTCTGCATGACAGCTTCATAACTTCTCCTGAAACTCCAATAAAGTGCAGCTTATAGTAAAGCAACCTGCTTAAACCACAAACATGCAAATAATTTTTGTTTCTATTGGATGGTCCTGTGCATTTAAGCGTAAACACGTCTTGCTCTACTGTAGCCCAACATTGTCATGCCAAATACAGTGTGATTCATTGCAGAAGGAGTTTGGGTCACTTCCCTGCTGGCTTCTCCCTGGCAAAGGCTGCAGGCAGGCTCTTGGCTTTGCACTGGCTTTCCTCCCCAGCACCCTCCTGTGGCAGCAGAGTTCCATCCTGAGACTCCTGTTTGCACTTGTTGCCTAGGCTGCACTCCTGAGGAGATCGTGGAGAAAATCTGCAATCACCATTACTGGGACCCTCTTGGGGATGATTGTCCTGAAGACCTGAGGAAAGTCATTGAACAGTGCCGGGCCTTTGACCCTTCTCAACGCCCTTCTGCCGAAGGTAAGTGACCCAGATACCTGCTGCACCCTTTGCACCCTTCAATCAGATACTTCAGCAGGCAGTTTGCCCCCTATTTCCCATGTGAATTTGCCTGGCTTTGTGTTTCAGGATCCTGCCTTAACCTTCCTTTTTATGCTAACAAGTCCCCCAGTTCCAGCCTCACACATTAATATTTATTTACCCTTGCCATGACAATAATCATCGGGCTCTTTTTTGTTCATTTGGTGTCACATTAAAGTAGCTTTTTCTCTCAGACAAGTACTGAACTGGAAGCAGGGATCTGTGTGTTAATCCCCACTCAGGTCCTGCAGACCCCATAAGCTGGAGGAGCAGCCACAACACTCTGCAGCAACATTTCCTGCCTTGGGCTTTGAGCAGTAAATTGCAGTCTTGGGAACTGCTCTGTGGCAGGGAAGTTTTCACTGTCTCTGAAGCTGGCTTGTGTCTGATCAGAGGAGTAACTGGTCTCCATCAGGAGATACAACAGCAACATCAGGAAATTATAGAGGAACGTTTCTGATGTGTTTGAAGTCATAGAGGTCATACCCTTCCCTTGTCTAAGGGAAGAAAACTTCCTTAATCTCATCCAGTCCATCCTACAGGACCAGGTCCATACAAGCGATGTGGGAAATGTGCCCAAGAAACCACGGAGTGCCACGTGCACTGTGTGCTTCCATTTCTCACCAGCACCTCCCTCTGCAGACTCTGCCACAGGGAACCGCCCTGGCTGAAGTGAAAACGCCAAAATATCATTAGAGATGTTGGCAAAGCCACATTGAGGAAACAGGATGGCTTTATTATTCTAATATGACCCTAATCCAACACCTACAACTGCATAGTTCTGGGCTGGAAGGAGAGATTATTGCAGCTGTTCACATGGGTGTTTCCATAATCATGGTTACTTCTGTTTGGGCTGTGCTGTCTGCTCAAGGCTGTCCCCTGCTAATCCCTGCCCATTTATGATGGCCCAAGGACAGTGTGACTCTGTGTCCCCTGTCATTATCAGTGAGGGAAAGCCATCTTCTCATCTGCTAAAAAAATACAAACAAGCCTACGGCAAATCCTCTGAGTTGATTAATGCCATCCTTGTGTTTTGCAGAAATTGTAGACTCGCTGGCTGACCTGGAGAAAAGCAGAAACCAAGGAAGTTAACTGTGGAAAACGGGGCCGGGTGACCAGGGGCAGCAAGCCCAGGGGTGCCACTCGCCCCTCTTCCCCCTCACAGAGACTGATGGTTCAATACTCACGTGTTTGTTTCTGTGTGTGACACCTTCGCCTCGCCAAGGCCATGCCTGGGTGGCCTTGGAGACTTGAGGAAAGGCTGTCAAGAAGCCTAGGGGGACCAGAGGGATGGAACACAGCTTCTTTTACAAGAAAAGACTGAGGCAGTTGAGCCTGTTCAGCCTCGAGAAGAGACAACTGAGAGGAGACCCCATCAGTGTCTGTCCCTTTTTGAAGAGAGACTTCAGAGGATGGACCAGGCTCTGCAACAGGACAAGAGCCAAGGGGCAGAAAATGATACATAGGAAGTTACACTTGAATATGAGGAATAACTTCTTTACTGTGCGGGTGATCATACACTGGAACACTGCCCAGAGAGGGTGTGGAGTTTTCCTCACTGGCAACATTCCAGAAACATCTGGATGCAATCCTGTGAAACGTGCTCTAGGACTATCGTGCTTGAGCAGGGAGGTGGGACCAGATGACTCTCTGTGCTCCCTTCCAACCTGACTCATTCTGTGATTCTCGGCGCCGGGGCCCGGCTACCCGGAGGCCACCTCCGGCTCCCCTTGGGCTGCCCCGGTTCCCCCCAAATCCTTTCCTGTTCCGCTGCCCTCGGGGTTCACGCTGGTTTTCCTCGGGCCCCCCAGCTCCCCCCGCCGCCATGGCAACGCCCCGCCCACCTCCCCCCTGTTTGAATGACCGTGCCTTCCCGCTCTTTTCGGCCCGCGGCGTCTCCGCCAATGAAAACTCGCTGCCCTGCTCTTGCCCCGCCTCCTCTACTGTCATGGGTCTCGTTGCCCAATCAGCCGCTCTTCACTGCGGCTCTTTGACCAATCAGAGCACGCCGTGCCGCTCTGCCCCTCGTCTCTGTCACTCCCAGTTCCGTTGAACAGACGGACAGAGCCATTGGCCAATGAGAGGGCGGAAGCGGCTCCGACTCGCCCAATGGCAGCGGGCGCGGAGGTCGCAGCCAGCCAATAGGGCGACGGGGGCGGGGCGGCGCGGCGCTCGAGCGGGCGGCTGGGCCCGGCGCAGGTGAGCGAGGGACGGCGGGGCCGGGGCGGGTCGTTCCGGGTCGGGGTCCTGGCACAGCTCGGTCCCCAAGGCCCAGGCCGAGTTCTCCAGCACGGCTTGTTTCCCCGAGCGCTCGGGCTGCTTGCGGCTACAGGAGGGGGATATCCCTCTCCCGTGCCCTTTTTGTGACGGGTGTCGTCTTTAAAATATACGAGCTCTGTAGAAAAGCCCCACTTGTGGAGCGTGTGTTTCGTTTGGGTCGTGTTCTTTTTTTTTTTTTTAATTGTTGTTAATTTCATGTTGAAGCAGGTAGGGCAGAACCCCTGCGGGCGGTGCGGAGCGGGCCCCGGCTGCCCTCCGCAAGGGGAAGCTGCTGCTTCAGCCTTCAGCCCTCGGTGCGAGCCCTGCGGCTGCCAGCCAAGCTCGCAATTCCTCGTTCGGGCCCAGGAAGGTTTGTGAAGACCTTCCATGTGCGGGCTCTTCCCGGGGCTGCCTCGTAGGCAGCTGGCTGGCTGGAGGAAGCACTGCACCTCTGGGTCAAATTCCAAGGTTTAACCGTGAAAATGCCAGTATTAACGTTTTTATGAATCTAATAGTTAATATAGGCAATGAAACATGTCGCCCGTGGGGGTTGTGGGTGTCCCAACCCTGGAAGTGCTCCAGGCCAGGCTGGATAAGGCCCAGTGGGAGGTGTCTCTGCTCATGGCTTGGGACAGCTTGGTAAAACCGGTATTTGTGCTTTGGGCTTCTAAATAGTGCTAAAGGTCTGCAGTTCCCAAGGCTTTTCAAGTTTATGATTGCTTAAGTACTTTTTGGAGAATGTGAATGATTTCCAGCAGCTTGCAGAATTTAATCCACACACCTCTTCCAATAAAGGACTTGAGAGTTTTTCGTGCATCTGTTCATTCAATTAATGAAATAATTTTCAACTTTTTTTTAAGAACAGTGTGACCCAAGTACTCTTAATTTGGCAGCTGACAGCAGCATGAGAATTAATAATGCACAGACTGTTGTCTCATCTGTTTTTCCTCAAACCCTGAGGTAATACTCCTGTTCTGGAGGTAACCTGAAATCCATATGCCAACAATATAGAAGGGCAACTATCTTTAATGTGTTTGCAGTTTTACTGCAAATTTCATGTTTATCCATATGGATCCACAAATGCTGATGCTGTAGATAACTTTGTACCAATAATATCTCAGTCACTTGTTCTGCTGTCATGCCCTTTCTGGGTTTGCCTGATGTTGGTAAATACGTGAAGGGCTGTTCAGTGCACTCTGGGTAAGGGTCACAGTGATATGTTACGATAAGGCAATTTTATTTGTAGAAACTTGAACATCACCCCATCTCCTGAGAGCAGTGCAGCAAAGGACTGTGTTGTAGAGCTTGTTTCTGGCTAAATCTGTGGGTGCTTGTGCAGTGCTGCTCACCCAGGGAGTCTCTCACATATTTCCAACTGTTCTTCAAGATCCACATGAATTTACTTGGCAAGTAAATGATGGCAGCAAGAAAGCATTAACTTTACATAATCATCCAAATGCTTATTTAAGTTGGTTTTGCAATGTGCCTTTGGTATTAGTTGCTGTTGAGCCAAAGACTTTGAGCCCAGGATTCTGTGAGCATGCTCCCAGCTCACATATGTGTATTGACTTGTGGTTTAGCTCTGCTGCAAAGGACAAATTTTCTCTTGACTCTGCATTCTAAAAGCTTTTTTAGTCGCTGAATGCTGTACCTGGTTCTTGCTACCATCAGGCTACATGTAGGGTACACATATAAGTAAATACTAGTTTTTTTCAACTCCTTGCAGAAATGGCTCAAGAAGAGATGGAAGTTGATCTGCAACCAGTGGCTGGTTACTCAGTGGAGACTCTGCAGACACTTGCCCCGGAGCCCTCTGGTCACACAGTGCTCTCTCACATTCCTGTGCTTGGGGAAGGAGGAGGCAACGCTGCAGCCCTTCCTGCTGACGATGCTGCTGTCACACCCAATGCTGGTACAACAAGGGAAGCAGCTGCAGAGCCTGACCTGCACATGAATCCTGCCACGGCTCCCAGTGGGCTGCAGAGGCTCCAAGGGGCGTTAGATCTGTACCAGCAGCCTGTGCCACAGCTCACACAGCGTCCACAAGTGAGGAGAGCTCGCAGGCAGCAGAGAATTGGTGGTTCCCAAAGGACCATCAGTGCCAGGTAAAGCAGAAATGAAATTGGGTCTGAACTGCCCTCTGATCAAGTCCAGCATCAGCTCAAAACTTCTTTGCTTCCTGGCTTACAGAGCCCAGCCCAGATGTGTGGCTGGGGCCAAATCCAGAGTACATCACTTACCTTTGAAGTTCACTAACAGCACAGCAACTTCTGGTCTCTTCTGGTAGATTCTTTGTCCTTGTTAAGTGAATCCCCGTTTCATATGTTGGCGGGGTGATGTTGACTTCTGAGCCCTTCTACATTTTGAATTTTGCTTGCAGAGCTTCTGCTGTTGCTGTTCCCTCAGCACAGCCAGACTCCTGTCCATGATTCCTGCAGCAGTGCTGATTCTCAGCTGTTCCAGCCAGCAATTAGCTCAGTGGAGCTTGTGCTCTGATTTGCATTTCACCTTTAATTTGGGGTCTGCCTGATTACATTTGCTGGTGACAATTGCTGCAGAAACTTTCACAAACATACAAACTGATATTTTTCTGTAGGTTTTTTTGGTTGGTTTTTTGGGTTTTTTGTTGTGGTTTCGGTGGAAGGTTTTTTTTGTTTGGTTGTTTTTTTGTTTGTTTTTTTTGTTTGTTTGTTTGTTTGTTTTTGGTTTTTTGGGGTTTTTTTTTTTGTTTTTACAATCAGACAAAAAATTCTCTCTATTTAATACCATTTGTGGTAGGATTAAAGGAGGATGAGTGGGGATGCTCTCCAGTCAGAAAGAAATCCCAATTTCTAGTTTATTTGGGGCTTTTTTGTCTCATCATTCTAGCTTTTGTACGTGCCAAGGGTGAAATTATAATTAACTAAAGCATTGCTTTTAAATTCAGCGAGACCAAGAGCTCCTCTTCTCCCAGTTGATTAAACACAACTGTACCGTTTGCCCTCGGATTGCCTGTGAAGGTCGCTGTAGTTGTGAGGGCTGGAAGGCAACCCGAGAAACTCCTTTGAATCTGAAAGATAATTGAGATGATAGCTGAACTGATGAGGGGAGAGGGGAGGATGTTTCTACCTAGGGATGAAGTTCCAGTAGAAAGTAAGGAAAGTAGAAAGACTAAGCACGAAGTCGTCAGTGGAATGAGGCCGTAATCCAAGTGGTGTGCATTTCACAGTACCAGTTCCTCCAGGAACCAGGGCTGAATTAGGCTTGGAGAGACAGGTTGGGAGATTCCTTAGGCTTATTAGTGAATGATACTACTTTGTTTTTCTCCTCTCTAACCCCACCATCCCCTTCTCCCCCAAAAGAAGGCAATATCATTGTAATGAGAAGATTTTCTTTGAACTGAGCAAAATGAATTGTTGCTGATCCTGCTGATTGTTCAGCTATCCTATGTGATTGCCTCCCTACCAGAGAACGCCTGACTTGATAACAGTGACACCTTCCTGCTGCAGTCAAAGCCTAGAAATTTTCCTGCAAACATTCATGGAGAAACATGATGAGTCTTTAGCTTACCTGAAATGACCGTGGCTTTTGTTTCTTGCTTTTCTGGACTCAGGGCAGCATTGGACCATTACTTTCAACTCAGTAGGACCCAAGAGCCATCTGCAGGACCAACTCCACACCTGGAGTTCCCCCATAGTGCAAGGGACACCCAGGAACAGCGCCCAGACGAGACAATCGAAGTGAGTGACTCTGACAGCAGCACTTCTGAGGAGGAGGAGGAGGAAGCAGTGGAGGCAGCAGCACCATCAGCCCAGGAGATGCCTCCAGCAGCAAGTTCAGGAGGTTTGTGCTGTATTGGAGCTGTGTAGAGACTGATTTCAGACACTTTTCTTGCTGTTTGAAAACTCAGCAGGGAAATCCTCTTGAGCTTCTCAACAGACGGTGCTCAGAGATCTTTGTGCCCACAGCTGACAGGAGCAGGCTGCTGCCACACGGCTTCCTGGCAAGCAGCTCCTAAGAGCAGCAGCAGCAATGGGTGATTGCTACATAATGTGAAATACAATCTTTTTGCTGTTTGCAGACTGCTGCTTATTCTGAACATTTCTAGGATTATTGGTAACTTATATTTAGAGATTATTGCTTGCCATACTTCCACTCTCATATATTATTGAGTGCTATTGAAGACATCAGGTCACCGCTAGGACATCAGCAAGTGCTTTCAGAGAAGCATCTGATTCAGTATTTTTAAATTTGATATTTCAGTCTGCTTCAGTTTAGTTTTCATTCCTGTAACTTGTGACACTTAGCTGAGGAGATGGAGGTGTTTTTTTGTTTTGTTTTTCTTTCCTCAACTCTTTCTGTCTTGCAATTCTTTATCTAAGCTCATGTTCACAGGCTGACACATACTTCAGTGACATTGTTTGTGATGAACACGCACAGTTTATGTAAGAGTGACAAAGAGTTAACTTGCTAGTCAGGGTTATTGATGCCCAGAGAATACAAGAACAAGGATATCTTTTTATTTCAGTCTCTAAGGAATGTCCTTATGATTCACTCTCTCAGTTTTGGTTTTGATTGGCCAGCCCACCTCGTTACCTTTTTCAAAAGGGTACATCTGTGAGGTGTCTTTTGAACAGATCCATTCTGCTTGCTCTGGGCTAGTTTTACACATGACAGGAGCTCAAGCTGTTAGGTGCTGTATATTGTTGTGTGAACATATGCTCTCTGATGGATTTTCTGGAATTCTCTTGTTGCTTATATAAGCCAGTGTCTCCTCTTACAGTCCAGAGCCACAGAGGCTGAACATTTTATTGGGTTAGGTGCTACTTCCACTGGATGGAGAATATCTGCCTTGATTACTCAATATGATTAATAACTTGTTTTGTCAGGTGCTAGAGAGGAGGCAGTGATTTCTGCTCCTTTTTTACTGTGCTAGTGGTGGCAATCTCCACATAGCAATTCAGTGTGCCCATGCCTCAACAGATGGGCTGACAGAGGCCCACCACAAAAACATAGGGAGGATACCAGCAGCATTGGTAGTTCAGACAATTACCAGCTGGAAAACTGCTGAAGTCAGAGTGAATGGACAGCCAGCATACGGGAAATGCTTTCTTGGCACATGAAATATGCCTGCTTAGATGCCTTGGCAAAGCAACTTCTGATATTGGTGTCTGTCTTTCTCAGGGCATAATGATGCGGGAATATAACCTTACATCAGCCTAACTGTAGACCAGGTCTGTTTGTTTCATGCAGGTCAGAAAATTCTGATAACAATTGCTGTCCTTAAAAGACCTCTCCTTTTTCACTGAAATTCTGTTGATTTTCATAAAAGAAAACATAAAATTCTTCACGTATAGAAGGCCTTACACACAGGCTGTGTCCAGGATACTGATCTGAAGCTTTGTAAGAAACCTGTGCTGTGTCACTACTTAACCTGTGCCCTGGAGATTTCAGATCAAAGCAGGAGAACTCCTTTTCCCCCCATTATCAATCAGGTTATTTAAGCAATGCTTTCTTTAGTTCCCAATCAGGTCCAAGCAGAGCCACCTCAAGCTTCTGCAGAGCATGAAAGTCATGAAGATGAAGCTGAAGTCCAGCAAAAGCAAGTAAGGTGAACTTACAGAGCTTTTGGAGACAGATTATGTATGATAAATGCTGCATTTTCTAAAATAGTTGTGTTGTTTTTTTTTAATTTTTAATCCTAGACAAGTCCAGAAAAAAAACTGGAGCCATCAGTTCCTGCTGCACGTCTGGATGAGGAGGAAGGAGATACCTGTGCCATCTGCTTTGAGCAGTGGACCAATGCTGGGGACCACCGTCTGTCTGCACTGCGGTGTGGACACCTCTTTGGCTACACCTGCATTGAGAGGTGGCTCAAGGGACAGGCAGGGAAGTGCCCTCAGGTAAAATGGGTGTTTGTGTGCTCTGGAAAGCACTGAAAGCACGTACTGTGTGTGCCTAACTTGTGCCTCAGATGTGATCACTGTAAATGTTACAACTGTTGCTGCGTGAAGCTGCTGTCAGAAGTAACAAACCCCATAGTCATTTTGATGTTATTAGGCCAGTAACAACTAGAAGTACTTTAAAGGATGGGTTATGATTTGGATCTTGTCCCTGAAGTAGAGCATTTGTGAGTAGCAGATGCAAAAGTTTGAGAGTTTAAGTGCTAAACTTGGAAATGGTTTGAGAATGCCCCACTCTGGCCCTGGAGAGAACTACCTGGAATGGAAATAGCAGACAGATTCCTAGAAGCAATTAATAAACATAAAGACTATGTCATTGGACAAGAAATCTGTCTGAAAACTGTTTTGGAACCACAGAATGGCTAAGGTTGGAAAGTACCCTAAATATAATCTTTCTCAGTTTTCAGTTGATTAATCTGTTCTGAACTGTGTCTGCTTTTGCAGAGGACCAGATTGTTTAGAAAGCTGGCAGAGAGCGAACTGAGAACCAAGTTACATCTTTTAATGTCCCTTTGCAAGTGGTAAATCAGCTTTTGAAGGTTTTCTTTCCAGCTTTGTTTCCATGATTAATACTGATCTCCTTCAATGAGTTCTACACTTCTCTATGATGTATTTCCATTCCTTATTCCTTTTTTCCATGAAGGAATGTTGACAAAAAATAGGTCAATGAGTACCTTGTAAATAGGATTCAGTTCTGCTGCTTTCTGAGCCGGTGGCTGGAAGCCATGGTTTTCTTTGGCTTTGTCATTTTGAGAGCTTCTATATTCTTGCTTGACTTTGCAGGATTCCCTCCTCTCAACAAGAAATGTCCTCTTGACGTGTGCTGTGACTAAACCTAAAGAATCCCTGTTGCCATAGCAAAGGCCCAAAGTTGATTTTTCTTATCCTTGTCAATTCTGTGTCTTATCCTTGTCAATTCTGTGTAAGCTTTTCTTCCCCCACTTCAGGCCCGGAGAGAATTCTGAGAGGCCTGCCCGGCATATTTACACTTTGGAATTTCGTGACTGCTTTCTTCTCGAGCACTAACATCTCAAGGGTTGCATGCTCCCTCTTTCTCTTCCAATGATACAAATACAAAAAAAAGTTCCTGGGAGAACTTGCTCTGGAAAGAGTCTTGAAGCTAAATCATCTTCCCTTCATTTTCAGTCGATTTTCCTTTGCGATTGGGCGTTCTCTGGTTGAATAGCCCAGAGTTGCTGTGCATGGTCTGTGTACTAAGTGGCTTGAGTGTGAGCTACTGTGAAATTCCAGTATTCCTGATCCTGCCAGTGGCAGCTGCTGGCTGCCAGGAAAGCTGTCTTGGCCATTTACTGCTCGGCAAGGCAGTTTTTAGAAAGGGAGGAAGGTTGTCTGCTCTGAGACTATTGCATGTGATATCGTCATGCTGCTAAGTAGGAGAAGTCTGCATTTGAAGCACACACAGTAATTTAATGTTCAGCAGAGGTTACTCGATCTGAGTATTCACTGCCTCTTTCCTTATCAACAAAGGATATTTGCAAAACTTTAAACCTGGAAGAAATTATGGCATCTTGAAGTTCTAACTTGCCTTCTTTTTAAGGCGAATGTCAAGTACTAAATGGTTGCAGCTAGATATACAAAATTATTGAAATATCTGACTCCCTGTGTGTCACTAGAGTCAGTGACATGTCAGTGTTTCTTACAACACTGGAACACTTTTATGGATTTGGGCCTGTAGAATTTGATTAAAGGAATATAATACAGAAATAAGAGTTGTGAGTATACTCAGGGGTTCCTAAATCCTTGTCTGTTGGCCAAGCAACAAGTCTTGGTGTTTTCAGACCTGAGGTTGGGCTGATGTTTTGTTCTAGATCTTGTTTTAACTTTGTCTGATTTGGGTTTTTTGGTCCCTGGTACTTAGCTGACCATGCTGCCTTGCTGGTGCATTAGCAGAATACATTTAGTGGGGAGCAAGGAGATGGATTATTAAAGGTGCAATATGATATGCAGCTTTTGTTGTAGGCCTGGTTAGAACTCTGGTGTCTGTATGAGGGAACATCTCGCCGACATGCTAAGTGTTTGTGGCATTGTTTTCCAGTAGACAGCCCCTTCCTTCAGAGCTAAATAAAACAGTACCTGGAGTCTCATAGGGATGCACAGTTTGACTAATTAAATTCTTGCAGATGAACTGAGCTTGTGTTTGATTTCAGTGCAATAAGAAGGCCAAGCGTTCTGACATCGTGATCCTGTACGCGCGCACGCTGAAGGCGCTGGATACCAGTGAGCAGGAGCGCATGAGAAGGTAGAGTCCCACGGGAAGACACCTGGCACTGAAAGCTGCACTCTGGCTTCTACTTCATGCTTTCATTTCCTGTATTGTCTAAAGCAATTTGTGCATTCCCTTGGGGTTTATCATGAGTGTAGCTACCATAAAGAGCCAAGGCCTTGCTGTGTGGCATGTCTTAATTTTTTTTGGAACAGAATTCTTGAGTTTGCATTTTGTGGTACTGAAACAGCAAAAACTATCTTGTGCTATATTCTGAAATGCTATCATGGGAGAACATGCAAAGTTGATGCCAAAAAGCTGTATATTGCTAATTTATCATTAGATAGGAAAAGCAAGGCATAGTTAGGAATGCAAGGAGGGTGAGTAGCTGACCTTTTCTGCCATCTTTTCTGCATGCATTAAACAGAGTAATACTTCATATGAATCACTTTCCATCTTGCTCTGTCAAATTCTTCATGTAGCTTTACTTGCGAAAGGTCAGCAGGCATTACTATGACTCCCACTTCCCTTTCCAACTTAAATGTAGACTTTGTATTGAAGAAGGGAAAAGCAGGTATGAAAATGGGGACTCATTTCTTTTCAGTAAGATGCTGTCACAGATACTATTCTGAAATTAAAAGGCCGCAGATATCTGAGTTCTGAGTCTTGTGTTGAATAGAATTTAATTGGGGTTTCTTCACATGTCTACAACTATACCACTGCTCTTTCAAGGCAGTCTTTCAACAGAAACCTCACTGTCCTGGTAATTATAGATCAGAAATGATTGAGGAATAACAGTCAGGAAGGGAAGAATCTCTCTTCTTTCCAGGTTGCCACAGCCTGATGATGTTTGAAGTGTACCTTTAGAAGGGTTATGCTTCTTTTACTCGATTAACACAGAAAAATTAATTATGTATAATGTTTTTCTCAAAAGCATGGAAGATATTTGGGTGTGTAAATCTTGTTATCTCTCATGAAGGCGTAGTTGTCTGACTTCTGCTTGTGTCTCAGAACCTCACTGTTGCTGTTCCCCACATGTCCTTCCCCTCCTCTGCCTCCTGTTTTTAAGGCAGGGAGCAGTGACTGCCTGTGGGTCCATGGAGCTGCTGGCAGTGGTGGCCTTGTGGCACACAGCCCCGAGTGGAGCACAGATGTGTGTGTGTGTGTTGTTAGTATTGTTTGCACATAGTCTTAAATTAGGTATAAGATCATGAGGTTTGTTTCTCACATTTAAAAAAATCCACCAACCTTCAGGCTTTGGGTACTGATATGAAGAATATGTTTGTGATGGTTAAATAGGCATTTCACCTGTTTCTTCTGCAGAAAAAAAAAATCACATGAAAAAGCTATAAGGAAAGGACAGAATTCTGTGCTTTGGAACATGCAAAACTAGGTCTGTGCATTTGCAAAATACTGAGGCAAGAGCTCCCTGCACATGAACGACAGAAATAACTGGAATATTGCAGCTTTTGATGTACAGAACACAGTGGGCAACATAGACCAAGTGTACAGCTAATTTTAAGGAATGTTGATGTTGCTTTCTCCACTTAAGCTATTTCTTCATGTAAGCCTGTATGAAAGAGAAATAAATTCAAGTAACTTATCAAAAGTGCTGCTGCTAAATGGTGTGTATGCACTTTTGGCCTCAAGGTGAGGTAGTAAGTGGATCTTCTTTATGGGCATTCACGGAGAATTTATTTGTATCATTTTTTCTGGTAAAGATATATGTTTTTAAAATACATGATTAGCTAGTGGTAGCAGAGACAAGTTTGAAGATCTTGCTGTTCTATAGTTATGCTGTGTTGTGTTACAGACACGGTGTATTACATGGACATGATGGTATAGGATTTGCTTAAGTGTTTCTGTAGGAGAAAGAAAATTGATTTCTCTTTCACTCTCCTCTATTAAATTAGTCCTTTTGGAGAGGGTGAGGAGAAAGGGAACAATACTTGAAGTGAGTCATTCAGAGCAATTGCATAACTGAATATCTCAAGGTGAATGTATTGGGTTAGTGCAGTACCAGGTTTTCTGTTACTTGTGGATTTGCCTGAAAACAGGATTTATGGTGGGATGAACTCAGAAGGTGGGAATTGACAGCCCAGAAGAGTATCCTAGATAATACCCAGTCCTAAGGATTGCTTACCTCTCCTTCTTCCAGTTCTTTAGAAAAAGAGCAAATGTTGCGGAGACAGGCGGAGCTGGAATCTGCACAGAGCCGTCTCCAGCTCCAGGTCCTGACAGATGAGTGCAGCAAACTCCGCAAGCAGGTCCAGGTGAGTCTCATGCTACAAATACACAGAGCATTTCTTTCTCTTCAGCCTGCCTTTTCCATGTTCCCTTAGAGGTGAGAAGACAGGATTCCAGTTTTAGTAATCAGCAAGATTTAGTAAACTCAACTGGTGAATCATCCCAAGCTGGTAAAGACATCCTGGGCTGGAATATTCATGTGTGCCACAAAAACACTGACTTTTTCTTGTGCTTTTAAGATTTAATTGAACTTGCAGCCCAGCAGTAGAGTTGTTTGGCTGCTGGTGTTGCAGGGTCCCCCTCAGGTTTTGTGGTGCCTGGAAAGGCGTGGTAATAAAGAACCAGACTTAATCGCCTCATCTTTCTTGTAGTTACATCAAAATAAGCTTTGGAAATCTCAGTAGTAAACCTGTAATAGAACCTATTATCACTAGTTAGTCAGGAACCTTTGGAAGCAGTTTGTGAAGAGGTATGGCTACTTGCAAAAGCAAAAGAAAACAAACAAAAAAAATCATAGAGGTTTGGGTTTTTTTGAAGGTTAGTCAGCATTTCAGTTTCACACCTTCTGGTACCTTGGGTCCTGGCCTGTCAACAGTTGAGGCTGTACAGCTCTTGACAGGTTCCTCTTAGTACACAAATTACTGAGTATAAACGATGGGTTGTTAAATGACTGCTTCCTTCTGGCTTATGCAATACTGAGATATTTTGTAAGCCATCCCAACTGCTTTTGCAGGATTCCTATAAATTATGGACTCTGCCAGTGCTTCCAACTGTGAATTAGCTGGCATATTCCATCAGTGCTAGGTTTTCCAAGAGCCTGTTCCATTGCCAGTTTGCTACCTTTTGTTGAATGAGGCAGATGATATCCTCTCACTCTCTGGCAGCCTGCTTAATTTTAGGCTTTTCTTTCTTCTTGGATGTTTTTATAGCCGTGGCTGTTCATATCTGTGCATTAAACAACATCCTCCTTGCTGAAGTCTTCCTGTGTGATGTAAGATAAGGCTTTATCAATTCTCTAAATTCCTGCATGAAGCCATGTGCTTATCATCACTAATAAGAGAATTGGTCCATTTCAAATTTTGGCTTAAGAAAAATGCAAATAAGGACCTGCAAATATGCAGGTCCATAATGTTTTCCTGCAATTCATTTGGTGTTAAATGATGGAGTATCCAGTCTAACTGAATTGAAGTCACATGTTATGAAGATTAAGTACCCTGCGTTCTTTAAGCTCTGTTTCAGTATTTATAGTGAATTCATCATTGTCCTGTAGTGGTTAATGCAAATGCTGGAGGAATTTTAAGGTGCTTGTTTATACCATGAATGAACGGAAAGTAAAACAATGTACTGGGCAGCACAAAAGTCAGCAGGAAGTCTGCAATAAACCTTTAACTTGTTTGATTGCATTTTGAGCAGATGCCTAACGAGCTCCTTGTTTTTTGAGAAGTCATATAGTAAAGCAACTACTTGCACAGAAGTATTTAGATTGGGAGGTTTCTAGCCCAGCCTTGGTTGGGTGACTGCAGTTTAGGGTTGGGTTGTTCAGGGTCTTTTGTTGCTAATGCTCTTGAGCTGTGCCCAGAAGCAATCATGGCACTAGTTATGACCTTTTTTTAGGTTTGTTTGCATTTTCCTGTGCTCTTACCTATTAACAGTCTTGTTCATTGTACTTTGTTATTAAAGTATGTAATGTTATTGAGACTAGGAAATAGATGGTTTTTAAGTCTTTAACTACATTAAAATAGATGAGAAAAGGAACTTGAAGATGAGGAGAGCTCTGAGAGAAAGTCTTTGGGAGCAGGGGCTGTGCTGAGCTGTGTTGTGCCCACCACACGGAGGTTCAGGCTTGTGTTTTTGAACCAATGCTGCTGACACCTTACTTTTACCTAATGCTTTTCATTTGGGAGCAGAAAGAACTTGGGAATGAGATGTGAGCTACTGCAGAACTCCTCTTGAATCTGCCAGCATTTTCAGTAAAAGTAGCTAATGATAAGCAAACCATCTCTGCCTTCTGGTACTAATATCACTGATCAGCTGGGGTAGGAGGTCTGATTGTTGCACATGGGAAGCAGTAGCTCTGTTTAGGTATGGAGCAGGAAAAGGAGGACTGGCAGGAAAATTACAGGAGGCTGCATGCTGCTGTGGAGAAGAAAGCAAATGTAATTGTTACCCTTGCAGAGATCCGTTCGTATTGCTTGATGTAATGGAAAAGCTTTTTTAAAATAGGATTTTCAGAGCATCCAAAAAAAAAGTTGAATGGCAAAATATCAATAAAAATTTGTGTATCCAGTACCTCTAGGAAAAAAAATTAGGCTGATTGTTTTATTGAATGAAAATTGTTCATATTTGTGATCTCTGTGTTCACCTCCAGTTGATGTCTGGGGAAGTGCAAGCTGATATTTCATGGCTGTTTTTTTAGTGAAGCCAGTTAGAAATGCTCCACGTTCTTTAGACTGAATTTGAACCCAAACCCTAAAGGGAAGTGGAAGGGGGAATGTCTGCAGTGCTGCACCACAGCTTGAGGTTGTCCTGTCCTGTGTTTCCCTTAAAGGCAGGGCTGGGGCTGTGCAGTGCAAGGTGGCAGGTGTGGTTACTCTAAGGGCTCTGTGGGAAACAGCCAGAGTGACAGCCATTGATACCTGCCTTTGTCTTGAAACTTCATATCAGCTATTAGGGCTGTAACCTAATAACTCAAAACTATTCTGAATTTATTGTAGCTGGTTGTTTTCCTTTCCTATTTATTGTGCTTTCTACTTCTCCTTCTCCTGCATGCTCCTCAGGAAGACTTTTGTTATATAGCCCATTCTTTCCCCCCGTGTGACTGTGTTCATTCATCACTGCAAAGACGAGCTGAAATCTAGAGACAGTCATAGCATGTGCAGAGAGAGGAAGGAGTCTGCTCTCAAGGCCCTTAGTTGACACCAGGCATCAGGAAACTCTGCAAAGCACCTTAATGGAAAGTATAGGCTTTCACATAATGAACAGAATGTTCTTTTGAGCACAATTAGTGAAATTTGTCCACAGCGCAGCAGTTTTTAATCACCTTGCTAATGTGCCTCCAGTCAGACTTCCTGGTTCTGCTGGGTTTGTCCATTGTGTTTAAATGTAAACATTGTACTAATAGTCCTTGTGATTTTAATTGCCTGGTTTCCTTTTTAATAACTTGTGTGAAAGTTGAATGTTGAGTGCAGGTGACAAGGAGAGTTTTGTAAGGTCCACAGAGCAACAGATAATTTTAATCTCTTCTGATCCCCAGTGGTCATGGCCTCCCTCCCTCACCTTTTAGAAATAATAAGTATTAAATTTTTTATTAAAAATTACTTTCTTCTAAGATACCTGTGTTTTCAATGACTGCTTACTCCAAGCCTGAAGCTACAACTTTCATCATAAGTGTCCTGACAACCTCACACCCCTTCTTCCTTGCCCAGGTTATTTTGTCTTTTCTTGCTCTAATGGGATCATCTGGAGTCTCCAGCTTCCTTTTCTTTTTTTTTCTTTTTTTTCTTTTTTAAATTTTTATTTTTATATATCCTTGGGACATTTGCAATGTGCTTGATGCCCAAGAGATCAGACCTCTGCAAAGTATCAGAACTGCTCTCCTCTTGAGCAGCTTCCAAAAGTTATAGGTCTTGATAACTATTAATGTGGAGCTTGAACTTTGATCTTGCCTTTTTGAAAACTGCTGCCTTTGCTTCGATGCAGGTTTAAGTGTTGGTGGCTGGTTCAGTATTGAGGCTGACTTGCAATTACGGATATATTCATAATATCACTCTTGTGACCCTTAATTGTTTAAAGATTATATAGCCTTTGAAGCAGAACCTGCGTTGCTCAGACAACAGAAAGCAAGTAGCAATTTTCGTTCGGTATACTTCCCTCTTAAATATCCCTGACATTCTGTATTGTCTGGTTTTGACCTTGGATTACAAGATGGTCAAAATGCTTTCTGGGAAGGGACACTTCTAGTTGACTCACAATATGTTGGTGCCACTACCTTCATTCCCACCTCACCCCTGATGATCTCAGCAGAAAAAGGAGTTCAAGGAATACCTTGTTCCTTACAAAAGCTGTTCTTGGCCATGCCTTTGCTGAGTATCCTTGAGCATTCATCAGTTGAGGAGGAGGTGGTAGAAGACAGGGCTGGAAGCTCTTGAGAGTTGTGTCGTTCCTGGAATTTGCTGCACAAGGTTTACAAGAATAGGGTCATTGTCATTAAATAGACTGACTTGTTTCCTGCAATGCCCTTTATGTTGAATCTTGGGCTTTTATTTTTTATGGGGTATTCTGGAAATTCTGGAAAATGGTTTTAATTGACTTTCTCTTGTGGTTTAGGGGCACGTAATACTTGGCAGTTCATTCTCATCTAAACAGCATTGATCTGGTAATAATTGTTACTGGCTTTTATGTATTGCCCGAGAGTCCTCTCTTTAACAGGGTGTAATACATACAATAAAGACTTTTGTACATTCTGCCAGTATTTACACAGCATTTGAATGCTTCTGTTGCTCACTGTCATAGGCCATGGACTTAGAAATGTAGCACTTCAGGAATAACATGGAAATGGGGCTGTATTTCCCTCTTTTATCTGAGAACAAGTACGGTTGGAGCACTTGAAGCAGTGAGCACAGAAGGTTACAGTGCTGGTGATGCATTAAAGCTCTCTGGGTTTTTTTCTTTGCAGGAGCTGAAGGCTCTGGTGGCCCAGTACAATGTGAGCACTTCACAGCAGCCTGGCAGCTCCCGAACCCGCCTCCCAGGCAGCCTCCCCTCCAGCCAAAGCCAGCGCAAGTACCACTTGGAAAAGGTGTTTTTGGTGTCTCAGACTGGGAACTGCAGAGTGATGGCATACTGTGACTCACTGAGTTGTCTTGTGGTATCACAGCCTTCTCCACAGTCTACTTTTATCCCTGGTAATTATGCAAGTCAACATTTGGGGGTTCAGAAGTACAAGTTAATGTCATTTCTACTTTGTCCCTGCTCCCTGCTTTTTTGCTTGGTCTTTGCATGTGCCTTGCATGTAAACTGAGAATACTCATGAGACTCCCTATACTTCATGTGGCCCCTGCATTGGTAGCTTCTGCCTAGCAAAGGAGGTTGTTTTCCCTGGCACTTCTATGGCAGAGTCCTAGCAGAGGGTCTCGAGCTCTACTGCTGGAATGCCACATCCACAGGAAAGTAAAAAGTGTGTCTGGTAGCCCTTGCAAAGGTGGACCTTCTGAAAGAACAATGGGCCAGGCAGTAGGACCTGCAGAGAAGCTTCCAGTGGTTAAGGGAGAAACCCTGCTTCCCAAATTGTAGGTGGACTGATGCACATGCAGCTGATTAAAACAAAAAAAAAAACCAACCAAAAGCAAAGTCCTTTTAATTTGAATGCCTTGAAGCGGTGTTCTCTAATGAGGAAATAGGAAGCCAAGAAGTCACGGACAGCCCTGATTTTGTCTCGCTGTTATGTCCAGGGGCCAGTGACCTGACATCTGGACCAGTGCCAGTGGCTTTTTCAGTGCAATACATGTGGCATTAGGAGTCTGAGAGTGCTTATTTGCAAAATGCTTTCTGACTGATGAAACTTACTTTATTTGGTTAATGGGTTTGAGGTTAATGTGCCTTATCTAGGCATAACAAAGTGGTTTTCCACATTTAACTGGTCTCATTTTTCTGGCATTTGTAGCCAGGGACTCAATCTCTGAATGGAGGCTTTGTGATGACTCTTGTAGCACACAGGTTAAGTTCACCTGTAACCATTCTTTGCTGTGATGTTTGTTCTCTTAAATAGCCATGTAATCCTGCTCTTTGTGGTTTTATCTGGGTGAGAGTGTCTTTGAAGAAGCTGGCTAAAGAGCAGCAGGCCCTGTAACAAGAATTGTAAAACTGGTACTGAATTTGCTCTTGCTGGCTGGGATCCTTAAGGATTTACCTTGTTGCCATTTGAATTAAAGAATGATTTGTGGCAGTTCTTACCCAGAACAGCAAATAACTTACATATTCATCCCACCAGAGGCTTCAATACAGACTTTGTAGTTCTGACATAGAACAGCCAGTTCAATGCATATGCTGCTTCATAATAATCTGCTTTACCCTTCTTCTGTGGCAGGTTGTGGTGTTAAGATGATGAGCTTGGCCAACCTGAAGAGCAGTCAGTACATCCCCATCCACAGTAAACAGATTCGGGGCCTGGCTTTTGGCACTCGAGCAGATGGTTTGCTGCTCTCTGCTGCCCTGGACAGCACCCTCAAACTCACCAGGTGAGTCCTGCAGTCCCTGCAGAATTTGGCTGTGTGCAAGAGGTTGGGTTGGATTTTGTTCTGTCTTGCAGAACCTGATATTCTGCTTTCTGAAAGATGCTACAAAAATGAGATCAGATCTGCATATTCTTCCTGCATGTGGGAACTAACAGAGGAAACTTATTGATGCTTTTGCCTCTTTAAGAAGGTGGAGGTGTCATGGAGCTACCCCTCTCTGATTGTTTTCCTGTGGAAAACAAGTAATTCAGCACGGATTGGCCAACTGTGTTGAGAATAAATAACATAATATATAGACAAGACATTTACTGTCCACTTGGTTTTCTGTTACTACAGGGAAATGTGAAGTGAGGGAACTGGTACAGCATAAGGCAGAAATAAGGGGTGGTTGGGCTGTGCTCCTTCTCTGCACTGATGCTGGCTTCTCTGAGTTTAAACTTCTTGCAGATCATGGAATTCATCTGGGATATGAAATGCATAAACAGCATTGTTGAGCATGTGCTAGAGGCTCTCTAGAGCTAGCAGAGACTTAAAGCAGCGGGTTGGAGACTAATTATACAGAGACTGAGAGAAAAATGTGTCCAGTCCTGTTAGAATTTACAGCTTATGAGTGTGTTTTCTTTGTGCTCTGCTGCTCTTCGGTCTTAATCTTACAGTGCTTCAAAACTTTATTGACTGATTGATTCTTATTGAGTTATATTAACATCTCTGTGCAATCTGTCTGCCAGTAGTGGGTTAGGCAGGATAAGTGTCTGTTGTGTGACTAATTAGTCTCAATTCTTTCCCACAAGGGAAGCAATGAAGAGAACTTAATCCTGCAACAAAAAGTGTTTCTTTCCTGTAACCATGTCGAAATGTTTGCTAGACTAGTTAAAAGCAAACAAAACTCTCTCTGATACTCAAGTCAAGGTGTCAGATTTCTAACTGATTAGGCTGATAATTCTTTTCATGGTTTAATCTGAAGAGTGAGCAGACACTGCAGTGAGAAGCCAGACACTTCCATATCTGCCTCTTACTGCCTGTTTGGTTGCATCAGAGCCTGTGATCCTCTTGCTTTTGTGATTGATCCTGGGATGTCTTGGAGTTAGGTGTTTGCTTCAGCAGCATCTTCATACTTTTTTCAGTCTCTCTCTGAAAGAATAGTCCTTCTTTGGCTGTCTTTCTTCTTTAGTTACTCATTTCATAGTCATCCTCCCCAGATGAATTATCCAAGATGTCTTTATGTCTTCTGCTCTGGCTTGCAGTTGTTTAAAATAGCACTGTGAGTTTGTTTTGGTTTTTGGGGTTTTTGTTTTTCATCCAGTTGTTTTGACCCAGTCACTGCTCTGATATCAAACTCCCTGTTTCCCCAGCTAGATTTTTGTAGTTGTTCCCCTTACACTTACCTGGGAACATTTACTTGTTTCTCTGGAGTCATGAGCATAATCACCTTCCCCAGGGAGAAGCACATGTGTTATAAAGAATATCTGGAGTGATTTCATATTTGCAGTCTTCTGTCTCTTGCTGTCCTCAGTGTGCAAATGCATGTTGACAATGCTGCCCTTTGCAGATATGTTATGATCTGTGGGCCCTCTTCTCTTCTTCTTTAGAAACTTGATTTCTAGAAGAAATAATTAATATTATAAATGTACTTTCTACTGTCCTTAGCCACTCACTGTCTCACTCTTGCTTAAACTAGATCCTTTTGAGGTATAAATACTGTTCCTCTTGTGTAAAAAGAGGGGAAATAATTAATGAGAGATGTAATCTGAATGAACCCTATGATCTCAGGAATATGTGGTATTACGGGACTACACCAAGTTGCTTCTCCTAATTGTTTCCAGAAAAGTAACTTAGCTTTCTCTTGCCAGTAAGGCAGCTGAGACCCTGCTGTGAGATTTCCTCTCCCAGTCTCCAAAGATCAATCTGGAAAAAGCAGCATTGGCCTGGAAGAATTGTAAATCACTTGACAATGTCCAAGGGATTTTTCTGTTTGGGTTTTTAGATTCGTGTCTGGAGTAAAGGAGGAGTTAATTGAGAATTTGGTCTAAAGAGAGATGCTTTTCTCTGAAGACTTAAAAAAGCTAAATTAGCTTAGTTTAATTGTGCTGTTTTCTCATCTGTAGATACTTGTGTAACTGGCCAACACTTTGCTTTTCTTCTGCAGCTTGGCAACAAACACTGTGGTGCAGACATACAATGCTGGCCGTCCTGTATGGAGCTGCTGCTGGTGTCTTGATGATACAAACTATGTCTATGCTGGATTAGTCAATGGCTCTATCATGATATATGATCTGAGAGACACCAACTCTCATGTCCAAGAACTGGTCCCTCAGAAGTCGAGGTATGGCAGAAGGATTTATCATTCCTCTCAACTAATACACATCAAGTTAAACAGCTTCTTCCATAAATCACACACCAATTACAATAGTTTAAATTGTATTGTGTGAATCTCTTGTTCAAAAATTCACATTTAGCACAAGTGTGACAAGTCTCTCATAAGGTTGTATGGTGTTTATATATAACTTATGCAGATGCCAAGCACTTGTGCTCTTTTTAAGGCACACAAGGGTCAGAAATAGACCCACTGGTGCAATATAAACAGAAGAACTGAATTTGTTTTGGAGCTGGGTTTAGTATTTAATTTTGAAAGGACAAATCACAAAAAGGTGTGAAATTCTGATGCTTCTATTTCTTGTACCCTGGGAATCAAACACTGATTAACACTCATCTGATGTGTGCTGTCTGCTGCTTCTGTAAAACATAAGGCTCAGTAGTTAAGCTGGATTTAATTTATACTTGACACACCCATTGGCACTCCTTACTTGAAGGGCCATCTCACAGCCTGCTTAGGCCCTTTCTTTGCCATGCAATTGGAGAGCTGGAGCTCTGCAGCAGTGAGCAGGACACCAGCAGAGCTGGAGCTGGCAGCACTGACTCTTGCCAATGGCCCTTCCAGGTGCCCCATGGTATCACTGTCCTACCTGCCCCGGATGGCCTCGGCCTCGCTGCCTTATGGTGGAATATTGGCTGGGACCTTGGAAGGAGCCTGCTTTTGGGAACAGAAAGCTGGCAATTCCTACCGGCCTCATCACCTGCCCCTGGAACCCGGAGGCTGCATCGATCTCCAAACAGAGATCAACACACGGCACTGCCTGGCCACCTACAGGCCTGGTACGTACTGGGGTGTCTCTGCAGGCTCTGACCTCTGCTTCTCACTGCTCTGGGCTGAGCTCAGCAGCAGAAACACAGCACCTGCTCTTACTATGAGCATCTGCACATAGAGGAAAAACTGGGGATGGGCAAAAGGAGGCAGCTGCAGGCTGGTGCTGCTTGTATTCTTACAGCTAAAGCCTATCTGTGAGGACATTTTCCAAAAGTTACCTTTTTATTTCTACTACACAGGTAAAAATAATCCATGTGTGCGTTGTGTGATGATGGAACTGACTTGCAGCCCGCTGACAGAGGGCTCAGAAGATGTGGTGTGTTCTTCTAACCCGGTTCAGACTTTCAGTGCTGGGCCAGCTTGCAAGTTGCTGACCAAAAATGCCATTTTTCAGAGTCCAGAGGATGATGGGAGTGTTTTTGTATGTGCTGGTGATGAGGCATCCAATTCTGCTCTGGTATGTCTTGTTCCTTTCAGTGTGGTATAGGGGTTTACTGCAGTTCTTAGGACAGAAGCCTTATCAGTCAAAGTATCAGTGTATCTGGTGGAATTGTCTTGTCATGCACATTATCCTGTGCTAGTTGGTCGGTTTTACTGCTGTGGAAGATGTAACTTCCTGATAGCATGGGACTCCCAGTCTTAGCCAAGGCCTGTGGTCATCATCCATCCAAGGACATGTAGGCAGTGAGCCCCTGTTGTCCCCCAGGGGAATAGGGTTGGGCACAGTGGCACAGCTGGGCCCTCTGAGTGGTGTAACAGACTCAGTGGGATAGTTAGTGTGGTAAGCGCTGCAGGAGAAGGATGCAGGCTTTTTAGGAATAGTGAGGAAGAGGAGGAGAAGGGTTGCCCTTTGTATGAAAAAGCAGCCCAAATGCAGAAGATGCACAGCAGACTCCATGAGACCTCATGAGTGGGGTCAGAGAGAGTGGTCAGGGTGGCACTGTGCTGCAAGTCTGTTAAAGACAATCAAGTGGAGTGTGGAAGTAGAGAAAGGGTCCTACGAGTGAATTGAGGAAATCTTTTCTGGAAAGAGGAAAGTCTGTTCTGGGTGGGAGGGGAGAGTCTTGCAGTCCTTGACCTTGTCTGTCCCTCCCACAGCTCTGGGATGCTGGAAGTGGTTCTTTGCTGCAGAAGCTGCCAGCTGACCTGCCTGTGCTGGATATCTGCCCCTTGGAAGTGAACCAAAGCCACCTCTTGGCTACTCTGACAGAGAAGATGGTGAATATCTACAAGTGGCAGTGAGCTGTCCCTGTGCTTGCCACAGACTGTCCAAATATGCTGCTGGTAAAATCCTACACAACTGCTCAGTCCTGCACTTGCTGCTTACAGGAGACAGGATCCATTACAGCACCTTTCTGGCAGTGGGGAGGAGCTGGGATGCACTGGTGCCCAGAGCAATTCCTTTCTTCTTCTGTATTCCTCTTTAGGCCTGCCCTTAGTTCTTCTTTTGTTAATTTTTTTTAGTCAAACTCTACAAGCTGCCTCAGCACAGCAATAATTCCTGGAGTGTCTCCAGCGTGTGTTGCTGCACTTTTTTTTTCTGCTGTGAATACAGTACAGGGACTTTCAAATCTCTGCTACAAATGAATAAAATAAGAGGAACTTGAAGACCTGAGACTCCCACTGCACTTTCTTGTGGAATCCTGCTGTGATTACTAGGTGATGAAAAGGCATCTTGTAGCATTGCTGATACACAGTGTGAAAGCAAGTTCACTGCCGTGGGGAGCACACTCCCAACGTTCTGTTGAAGGTCTGGGGTCAGTTGGCAGTTATTCCTGAACAAGGATGGATCCTGTTTTGGGGCCATGGAGAGAACGGGCTTGGAAAATCTACAGAGAACCTTTTTCCTTTGTGGTTTTTTTTTTCCATGAGCATATAATTTGCACTGTAATTCCTTAATTCTCTGCCTTCTTTCCCTTCTCTCCTTCCTGCTTTACCTGCAAGCAAACCTGGACAGTTTGGCTGTGGAAAATGAAAATAGTACTGGAGAAGTACAGGTAAAGAAGAGGGAGATGATTCTTGTACTGTTGGCTGCTGCAGTCCACAGTGTTCTTTCTTAGAAGGACAGGAATGTAGTGAAACAGCCAGTACATTTGAAAAGAATGCTGGCTGCTTCTGCTGTTTGGGGATAGGGGAGTTGGCTTGTTTCTGTTTTCAGGAACCAGTGGAAGCTCAGGGATTTCATCAGCTTGTTTTTACCGACCTTTTGTCTTCCTTAAACAGCAGTTTACAGCTCCACAACTGGTCACAGAGAGCTTCCAGTTGTGTTTGTGTGAATGTGCTGCAGCCACTGGTTTGTGTAAATGTAAGCCCGTGGGGTGAGACCACAGCTGGGGGTATGTGTGGGCAGGTGTGCTCTTAGCCCTGGACTGTAAATACTCTGAGGGCTGGGTGTTCATCTCCAGGTCAGATCATGGAGGGGATCTTCAGTTCCATTTTATGTGTAACAAAGTTAAACTTGCAAGGGTGTTGGAAGCTGCAAGACAAGGTCCCTGTGCTGGAAGGTTATCCCTTGGCACACCTCTGCCTCTGGACACGGTGAGCAGCAGCTGTCCCATTCAGATTGAGTGTGCCACCACTTCAGTTGCCAGGATAATTTTATTTGCTGAAGTCTGGGGTTTGCAAAATGTGATCCTTTTTGTCTTAAATGGGACTGAGATCTCAACTTAATTTTATATTTTTCTGTATTTTGTTCCTATATTTTTGTACTGTAAAAATAAAGTGTTTATAATTATCAAATATAAGTGGTGCTGCTGTACTTTGAAAATAGGTCTCAGTGACATTCACTGTATGTCTTATGAACATTACCAAGGGTTCCTTTATGCAAGTGAACCTTCTCTTGCTTTGTATTATTTCCAGGTCACACTGAGCTTCACAAGCTGAAATAATGAAGGTATTTAGTGAGTGAGTCCTCGCTGAACCATCCTGATCTGGCCAGGTGAGGGGAAGGAAAAGGGTTGAGCAACGTCAGGCTGCACACATGGGACATCTTTTAAATGAAAATAACTCATTGATGTGAGAATTTTTGGCGTTTTAACAATGATCAGGAACTAAGGGTTGGTAGAATGATATTGTGAGAAGGTCTCTGGTAACAGCTAAATCAGATGGAGCAGGATGCTCTCTGCTGTATTAGTACAATGAGCTTCTTGTTCTCAGCTATTTTGAGGCATCATTTATGTTCTGTCAACTCCAACTCCATCTTACAAGAAATTTGCAAAGTTTTAAACATACACAGGAAAAATTAAAATGTTTTGATTTTGATTTTCTAAGTATTTTGATTTTCTGGATAACACTTGTTTTCTACTTTATACCACTATACAGGAATAAGACATACAAACTTGAATGCTGTTAAAATAATGGAAGATGACACTTTCACGTTCTCAGTTTTCTCGAGTGTCAGAAAATGTTCAAAGATAAGTGAGGAAACCTTGTAACACTGTCCTACTCCCAAGTTTGCAGCAGGCTGCAGGAAAGCACACCTAACTGGTGTGCAGGAAGCCATCAGCATTGAGTGCTGATAAAAGGTCAAATGTGTTAATTAAATATTTGCTCATCTCTGTCTGGAGTCAAAGGGGCAGATTTGGGATGGAAGGATGAAAGAAATCAGTGTCTGCTCTGTGCAGGGCAGCTGTCATGAGAGGCTGAGCTGTTTTGCTGGTGTTTCAGGCACGAAGCCACTATGTGGCTATTTCTGCCTCTGTCTCTGGGTAGATTTTGTTATCGTGGTGCAGGCTGGCCCCTTGGCAATTCCTGTAGTAAATCTGGTGTGAGGAGATAGGTAAAGTCAGGCAGTGCTGTGGCTCCTGCAGACAGGGCTTTGCTCTTAGCTGTGCATGGGCATTTTAAAATATTTTTCTCCAGGCTATTGCAGGGCAGTACCTTTTAAAATTTTAGTTCCTGTAAAAACAGGCCTAGGGGACAGTGCAGTGGTGGCCAGAGCTGCCTGTGGTGGCTGCTTGGTTGGCAGCAGTGCAGCCCCTGCTGCTCTCTGTGGAGGTGTGCTGTTGGGGGGTGGCTGGTGGGGAAGAGGAGGCTGGAGTTGGACAGCCGTGCTTTTGGACAAGGGTTGTCCTCCACATCTCCCTCTAACAGGGATGATCTGGTGTTAGACTGTGATAATCCATAGGGTAAGAAAGCAGCCAGCTACAAGATTCCATATCAAGGAACTTCGCTGACCTAGCACCTACCCTGGTGCTTTAGCTGTTGAAGGGACTCTGGTGAGATTTTGACAAATAATCAAAAATGTTGCAGATGAGCAAAGGTCATCTGCAAAGAATGAGCCAAGAAATGAGCACAGCTTGGTGTGTGTGTGCACACCAGGCAGAATTGCCAATGCTTTGCTCTGCTCTGTCTGTACCTGCTGCTTCCTGCCGGGCAAAAGAGCAGGTACTTTGTGTCCCAAATCAAATTGGATTAAACCTAGGCAATGTAGCAAGTGAAACAAGCAGGTTAAACTGAACCTTGTTACACTGAGGTAGCCAGAGCATCCCAGTGGGATTTCAGTTAGTTCTCCTTTGCCGTTTGTGAGGAGACCTGACAAGATTTTCTGCTTCTGTGGATTGGCAGATTTTCTACCAAGGCAGTAAATTCCTTAAAAGACCTTTATGCTGGTTTGTGAAATGGAGAATATGGGGGGAAAAAACGGTTCAGCTGCCTTGAAAATTGAGCAGAGGGGCTCACAGTGCCTCAGCAGCAGGGCTGCCCTCAGTCAAGCTGCTCTTGGGCCCTGTGAGAACTCAGGCATGTTGATATCAACAGCCTCCCTCACTTATGATGACGATATTTATCATTGTTTATTTGCTTTTATGATAGTTAAAGATACTTAGACATACTGCTGAGAAGGCAGAAATGCCTCCTGCTCAAGTTACCTCTCTTTGCTGAAAGAGGTGGGCTGTGCTTGGATGGCAGCCAGAGCTATGGGTGCCCTGGTATTACAGAACACTGGGTTCTGTGGGCCTGTGGGAAACTGTCCTGGGGTGCATCAGGCACAGCCTCACCAGCCAGTCAAGGGATAGGATTGCTCTGCTCTGCTCCAGCCTCACCCTGAGTCCTATGTGCAGTTTTGTTCACTGCAATATAAAAAAGATATTAAGCTGTTAGAGAGTGTCCAAAGGAGGGTAAGGAAAATGGTGAAGGGCCTTGAGGGGAAGCCATATGAGTGGCTGAGGTCACTTGGTATGGTCAGCCTGGAGGAGACTGGGGGTAACCTCATTGCAGTTGCAACTTCCTCATCAGGAGAACAGAAGGGACACTGATCTCTTCTCTATGGAGACGAGTGACAGGCCCCAAGTGAATGGCCTAAAGTTGTTTCAGGGGAGGTGCAAGTTGGATGTAAGAAAAAGGTTCTTCAGCCAGGTGATTGGGCACTGGAACAGCCTGCCCAAGAAAGCGATCACATCACCAAGAATGAGAGAGTTCAAGGAGCATTTGGACACATTTGGCACACAGTGTGTCTCTAGGGGACGGTGCTGTGCAGGACTAAGACTTGGACTTGATGACTCTTGTAGGTCCCTTCCAATTCAGCATATTCTGTGATTCTGTAAAAATAGTGCCTCTTAGTGCAAAAGAAAGATCCCCACATTCCTCTATGTCCTATAAAGCTTATCTAATCCTTGGGACAAACTTTACAGGTAACAGGCTCTCTCAGCATGTGCTGATCTAGAGTAAAGAAATTTCTCAAACTAATTTCAGTGATTATCTCACCCTGTGAAGCATGATTAATTTGAGGGTCCAGGGGCTTTGGTCTGGCATCAAGTCCAATTTGGTGCTTCCGCTAGCAGCAGAGGTCACGGAAGGGGAGCGAAGGGGAGTGAGCCCCATGTGCTTCCGATGGCTGGCGTCAAGCTGGCAGCAGCACTGAGTGTTTGGGAAAGCATAAATGGAATTGAGAAAGAATTGTGGCAGGTTGGAGGATGGGCTGGAAAATTGCCCATATCTTTTTTTAAAGGTAGGTGCTAACTGCAACACAGATCTGCATCAGTATGGGGACAACAGTCTCTGCAGTTATGGCCTGGGGCTTCTGACGGTTTGTGAGGCAAGGATGTGTCAACAGCATCGCTCTGGGGAAAAACAAAGGTCAAGTCAGGCTGAAACTTTGTGCCCGAGAGCAACAAAGCTCCCGTGTGTTCAACACTCACAAGGTTGTAGATGAAATACTGTCTCCTCTTTGTCCACAGCTTCCTTGGAAGTTGAGTATTTCCATGGTCCTCTGCTTATTTCCAAATGTGGATGAGCAGTAGCACTGCAGGACTCCAACCGACAGGAAAACCTGAAACAGTGGGGCTGAACCTGTGTGTGTGATGTAAATAAACCACGAAATACCAGACTGGGCTTGTTGCCTTAGCCAGCAAGGAATAGCGCTGAATGGCAGCTTGACTCAGCCCTCTGCAGCAGGATTTGTTGGTGGAGAGGATCATCCACTGGGAAGGGCAGTGCTAAAGTTTTTGGGGGATGCAAAGCTTTGGAGGGGGAGGCAGCTGAGCCGGGCTGCATGCAAGGGAGGAGGACCTCAGGGCACTGCGTGGAGGCTAAGTTGGGATCTGGGATTGCCACATGGGAGCAAGAAGTCTGTATCCAATTAAAAATTGGAGCAGCTCCTCTGCATGGACTGAGGAAGAAGTTTTGTTCTCCCTGAAGTGGTGAGCTGGAAAGCAAGGATACTGCTGGGAAGGAGTGAGAGGTGTCCCAGCAGCTCAGCTCACCCCAGGCTCGCTCTGGAAAGCTGGGGTTTATTACTTAACGTGAAGAGACTGAAAAGTGCTGCACACTACAAAAGCAGGGGACTGCAACCTCATAATGCAACACCCAGAGGGTGAAAGCCTTGCTGCTAAAATGCTTAAAATGAGGCAATAAAGAAATTTCTGCCAAAAGAGAGGGGCTGTAGTTGCAATGAGCTCCTGGGCTTATCAAACGGGCAGAGACGTCACTGTGCCC